CTCACCTGGAGATCCGGACTGAGGAAGGGGCTGTCAGCTCACCTGGAGATCCGGATTGAGGAAGGGGCTGTCAGCTCACCTGGAGATCCGGATTGAGGAAGGGGCCCACAGCTCATGGACACCTCCCTGCTTCTCACACTGGCTCCACTGAGCCCCCAACTCCTTCCTGCGCTGCCGTGGGCCCTGTAGGCATCTTTCCTGGCCAGGAGACCCTCAGCAGTGAGTCCAGAGCAAATGTCCAGGTCCACCCCGTGTGGAGGCTACTGGCCTCCCTGCCCCGAGCAGCCACGTGGGTGCTCCGAGTCCAGAGCCCATCGATGCCCCTTCTTCTGATTCCACCTGTCACCACCTGGGCCATGGCCTTAGTGAGGGGCCCTGCAGGTATCCCCTCGGGATATGCACTGGGGTGAGGGCGAGTCCAGCTGCCATCAGTTGCACCCCAGTGCTGAGGGTGTGGTCCAGCCAGCACCTGCTTCCAGGTGCCTGCCCTGACCCTGGCTGAGTTCAGGAAGGGGCCTCTTCCAAGTCCTCCCCTAGAAAGGGTGGCACCTTCCCGTTTCGACAGTCCTGAGAGGGCATCTTTTCCTTCTTTGCACACTTGCTGTTGTGCCCTGGCGGGCCATGCTGCCACTCCAGGGCCTGTCCTCTCTGTGTCCAGTCAGTGGCCATGCTGTCCATGCTGCATGCCCTGGGCTCTGCTGCACCTTGACTCTCCAGCCCCAACCTCAAAGGCTGCATGCTCGGGGACCTTAAGGGCTGAGCCTCCAAAGCTCTCTGGATCCTCTGCCTGACTGGGGGTCGCCTCTGCCACAGGAACACATCCCCCAGAGCAGCCTGTCCCTGGTGGGCTGGCCTCCTGACCCAGAAAGCAGGCCAGCCCCATGGCTTAAGATAGGACACTTCAAATTAAATTTCTCTGCCAGAGGCGCCTGGCTCCGACAGTGAGCTCTCATAATTGCTCATTTTGGGATCTGATCAGATATCTCCTTAACAAGAACCTGTGGATATAAAGTTAACAGAAAAAAATCATATTTGGCATTTCTGTGCTCTTCCCCGCCAAAGGCGCCGCGCCTCACGGCTTCCCGGTTTCCTGCAGCAGATTCGTGTTGCATTTCCTCCTTGTGACAGGCTTCGTGGGACCAGAGCTGCTGAGGAAGGAGATATTATGATTTTCCACCTCCGTGCTGTGCAGTTCAACAGGGTGCAAATGACAGTGGCTGGCTGGGGCGTGGCGGACTCGAAGGCAGAGGGCAGGCTGGAGACCAAGCGAGGGAGTCCGGTGGCCATGAGAGCCAACGTGGACAGGAGCTGGGGGTCACAGCTCTGTGGTCCCAGCTGGTCACCACCAGAGTCCAGAGTTGCCAAAACCTCATTTGTTCAAGAGCATCCTGGCACTGCATTCCCAGATGAGGCCCCTGATGTCCGCAGGTGGCCCTGGGTGGGACCCGCTGCCCTCCAGGACTCTGTCTGGCTCTTCCCACCCCACTCCACCCTCCCCAAGGTGACTGGGTCCCTGCGTCCAGCCTCTCTTGCGCATGTTTTTGAGTTGGGCTCCACCGATGGAGGCTCCCCCAGGATGCAGAGGAGGCTGGAGAGAGAGGCTGAGGCCAGGGTGTCGATTCCTCAGGCCTTCCCTGCATGGGGCAAGAGCTGGGACCCTCGGTCTCCAGGCCCAGCTTCTGTGGAATGCCGCGTGTGGCCTCCCTGGGACCAAGCAGCATGGCTCCGCCCTGCTCCTCAGGCCAGAGGTGGAGACCACGTCCACTGTGGGCCCTCCTCTCTGAGTTCCACGCCATCCTTGCTCGCCCCGCCCCAGTCAGCGCCTCTGCAAGGCATCTTTCTGTGAAGGCTTGAGTGAACTCTGGTTCCTGCCAGGGCACCAGCTGGAGCCTAGAATGAAAGCAAAGACACCACAAGCCTCTGAACCCTTCCCAGCCTGACAAGAAAACAGTTTCCCACTCAATTCATCCAAGCAAACGGCCTCTGCCCCTGGGCTGACCCTGCTCTTGAACCCAGCCCAAGGTCAGACAGCTCCCCCTTCCCCGACCCTCATGGCTGGGATGTGGCGTGTCCTGGGGCTAACAGGCGTCAGCTGTGGCCTCTCCTGGGGCTGGTGGGGGTCTGCAGGGGCTGAAGGTCACAGATGGCGAGGACTGGGGAACTGGGAGTGGGAACCCCGGGAGAGCCGGATCCTGGGAACCATGTCAAGTAGCATGGCGGTCATCAGGGAGCACGTGAGGGAGAAGAGGAGATGCCTTCTCCAGAGGAGAGGAGCTTGGGGCAGGCAGCTGCTCCATTCCCTTGGAGTGTGGGCTGGGCTGTGACCCTCAGGGTGGGGAAGCAGCAACCACCTGGGAGGCTCCAGCTCACAGCAGGGGCACGCGCCCAGCCAGCCACTGCCTGTGGCCTTGTTCACGGGCGATGCCGTGGCGCAGCCAGCACGTGCTCTTCTCCAGGGCCAGGAGGGTCCGGTGGATGTCATGGCCCCAGACAGCCCTGCTCTCAGCTGAGAGAGACACCTGCCATCCAGAAGGATGGGGGTTCTCCTCCTCAACACAGAAACCACACACGGCTTCACTGGCTGTGAACGTGGCACAAGCTTCCTGTGAAGAAAGAAAGAAAGTAAGCAGGGCAAAGACGAAGGCGTTCGCACGAAGTGGGCGTGTGCAGGGCAGCACGCCCTCCGTGCCCCACGGTTTGGGCATTCTGTTCATGCTTTTTCAGCTTTAACATTTTCTACATATTAATGTCATACATGTATTTTGAAACAAAATGAGTGCTAACGCACAGCAGTTCCTTTTGGAAAGTACTTAACATTGTGCTGTGTGCATTTCACGGTGACTGTGGACCTGCTGCGTGGTGCCATTTCACTGTGTGGGTCCCCACCCCGCCCTGTAAAGGGGCTGGGTCTGTTGTCACTGCTCCTCCAGCATAAACCAAAATGCAAACGACCATGATGGGGGCATGGGGGGAGGTGGAGGCAGGGACAGCTCCCACAGGTAGGCGAGGGTGGGGAAGCGAGGGTGGGACTGACTCGGGCCACTCTCTTAGCAGGAACAGCTCAGCGCTGCATGCCTGTGGGGCTTGGCCCTCATCTCAGGTCCCCTGAACCTGTCCTTGTAGGCTTTCTTCATGGAGCAAACATCTCCAAATATGAAAGCCTTTTGCACTTTCACCAAACTGCCCCCAGAAGCTTCAGGCAGTGGATACACTCCAGCCCCCAGAGGGCCCTGAGGGTCCATCTCCCAGACGCTCATTGGCATCAGCTATTGCAATTAGTTTTAGTCTTTTCTGACCCAATGAATACAAAATATTTTTGTTTTGCATATCTTTTTTGCATATCTTTTGTTTGCATATCTTGGGTAATCAGTGATGTTGCTTCCACTGTGGCTCCATTGTTTTTGTGTATCTTCTTTCGTGAATTTTTTATTCATGCCAATCTGTTGTATACAGATATCAGTTTTTCATATTGATTTGAATATGCTCTTTACATATTAAGGATACAAACTTGTTGTTTGTCATGTTGTCTTCAAATGCTTTCCTCCAGTTGCCTTACGATGTCTTGACGAAACACTCTGCATTCAGACTGTAAAGTCTGTGTGACTCCATCACCTATCTTTGGCTTATTTTCCACTGACATCATGCTTAAGAAGTTCTTTCTTACATTCAAGGTTTTGTTTTTCTACATTTTCCCCAAAATCAAACAAAATCTGCAACAAAATTAAAACAATAACTTAAACATTATTTTAAATGGCAGAGAAATGAGTACATTCTGGTAGAAATTTCGAGGACTTTGATGAAGCCCCCGTGTCGTAGGACCTGCTGTTCACCCAGCACTGTGAACCAGGCTGGAAACATAATGAAAACTTCCGCTTCCTTAGAGCTCCTAGCGAAGCGGCATCCACACATTATCACATGGATCGGCGTAAAGCTAGCCCTGGGAACAGAAACTCTCACAGAGAACAATGGAGAATCACCCGCTGAGAATTCTCAGATTTCACAGAGGTTAATGCGCATGACCACTGAGATACATGTTGTGACGATGAGGGTGTGGGCAGTGGTGCGGGACGGCTGCCCGCGGCATTCCCGTTCAGGCTTCCCCGGAGGGAGTGATGATGAACTGTGGTTTTAAACGAATGGAGTGCTGAGTGTGGGCAGGGTCATGGGGAGGAAGGGGGGGAGTTTGCACGCCGGTTCCCAGGCACCTCCCAGCTCGCTCTGCTCCGCTCCCCTCCTGCCCTGCTACCTTCTAGTCCCACTGTCCAGAGGTGGCTACAGTCGGAATCTGGTGTGTATCCTTCTAAAATATCTCGTGTGTACCTTTAAACATAAATTCATGATGTCAATAATGAAAAAATAGAGTGTGTGTGTGTATTTATATTTGCTTTTTGCTTATGAAAAAATTAAAAAACATACAGAAAGGCAGAGGATATATAAAACTCTCATATACTCATCACTCAACATTGACAACCACAAACATTTTACCTCCCCCAGAGCCAGAGTCCCACAGGTAACAAGTGACCCTAAACAGGGGGCAGGGGAGAGGTGGATGCAGGCACAGCTCCCACAGGTGTGGGCGGCGGAGGTCTGCAGGGCCAATGCAGGGCTTCAGGGCTGGGATCTCAGCAGGGTCTCAGCGCTCAGGCTGTGCCTGCACGGGCAGGGAGGGCAGTTCCTCACCCAGGGGCGCAGTGGCTGGCTCTGCAGGAGGAGCTGCCAGACAAGAACTGCAGCCCAGCGGAGAGGGGCGGGGAGCAGGTGTTCTGAGCACTGCTCCTCGAGTCTGGTCGAGCCAAAGGGCTCCAGAGGACAGAGTCCCTTTATTGGCAGATACTGGGCTCAGCCTCCAGACACAGGACCGGGTAGAGAGCGTGGAAAGACATGTCTTGCAGCATGGTTGAGGTTGAGTGTTTAAAGCAAATTGCGCAGCCATGCCCTCACATTCCTAAATCCTTCAGTATATGTCCAGACAAGCACACTCTTCTTCCATGCCTACCGCAAGACAAGCGACTCCTCCATCTACTCAAGCCCTGCAGTGGGCCCAGGGTCTGTGTCCTACAAAACGCATATGTTGAAACCTGATCACCAGCATAATGGATTAGCAGGGGAGGCCTTTGGGAGGTGATTAGGTCGTGAGGATGGAGCCCTCATGAATGGATTAGGGCCCTTAAAAAGGGACTGCAGAGCCCTGCCTCGCCCCTCCCATCATGTGAGGATGCAGCGAGAAGCCCGCCGTGTATGAACCAAGAAGTGGGCCTTGCGAGACTCTGAACCCGCAGGAGCCTTGACTTCGGACTCACCAGACTGTGGGAAATAAGTGTCTGTCGTCGATAAGCCGCCCTGTCTCGGGCACTTTGCTGCCGCCTGAACTGACTAAGGCGAACACTTAGTCTATACGCAAACTCCCTTTGTCGGAGGCGTTTCAACCACAGCGACTCCATCTTGAACAGGGGCTGAGTAAAGTGAGGCTGAGACACTCCGGGCTGCATTCCCAGGAAGCTAGGCATTCTTAGTCACAGGATGAGACAGGAGGTGGACAGAACTGATATCACAAGATACAGGTCACAAAGACCCTGCTGATAAAACAGGATGCGGCAAAGAAGCCAGCCAAAACTGACCAAATCCAAGGTGGCAAGGAAAGTGACCTCTGGTGGTCCTCACTGCTCGTTGAATGCTAATCATAATACATCAGGCACTAAAAGACCTTCCCACCAGCGGCGTGACAGTTCATATAAGCAAGGCTGCCCTATATGGTGTAAACGGGGGAGAAACTCTCAGTTCTGGGAAATCCCCACCCCTTTCCCAGGAAACTCATGAATAATCTAACCCTGATTTAGCATATAATCGAGAAATAATCCATCCCTGGTTTAGCATATAATCAAGAAATAGCCAACTAGCACCCCGCGGTGCCGCTCAGTCTTCGGAGCAGCCATTCCTTTGTTTCTTTACTTCTCTAATAAACTTGCTTCCATTTTACTCCATGAACTTGCCGGAATGCTTTTCTGTGTGAGGTCCAAGAACCCTTTCTTGGGGTCTGGATCAGGGCCCCTCTCCAGCAACATCTTGATTATCGAAAAAGCTGAATTTTAGGAGCTGATTTGTTTGAATGCAGATCCAAGCAAACTCTATACATTATATCAGAAAGCGCTATCTGTTAAGTCTCTTTA